TTGAAAGGTGTCTATTTAGGTCCTTTGCCCATTTTTTGATTGGATTGTTTATCTTCCTTATGTTAAGTTGTGTGAGTTCCCTATAAATTTTGGAGATTAGGCCCTTATCAGATATGACATTGGCAAATATGTTTTCCCACACCGTGGGTTTTCTCGTTGTTTTGTTGATGGTTTCTTTTGCTGTGCAGAAGCTTTTTATTTTGATGTAGTCCCATTTGTTCATTTTCTCTTTAGTTTCAAGTGTCCTAGGAGCTGTATCAGTGAAGAAGTTGCTTCGGCATATGTCTGAGATTTTGTTGCAAAAGGCACATTGTTGAGGCCTTACTCAACGTGATTCAATAATAAAAATGAGGCAGGAAATCACAATGTATAAAGATGTAATTAATGACAATAACATAATGGGGAGGGACAGAACTGTATAGAAGCAGTCTTTTGTGTTATATTGAAGCTAAGTTCAAGCTAGTTTGTTAGAAATTGAAGATGACAATTGTAAACCGCAGGTTAACTATAAAGATGTTACAACAAGAAGAAAATTTAAAGTGACCCAAGAATATACTATATTTAAGTATCTACACTAATAAAAGAGAAACATGCAAAATGGTGTCACTTCGCTACACCCACCAGCCAATCAGAGAAACTATGCAAATTAACCCAACAAAGATGGCGGTTAATTTGCATACGCAGGCACAGAGTGAAGACTGAAGACTGAAGAGGCTTGGCTTCTCTGCTGTACCCAGACCAAAGGCCCGAGTCCTGGGTGTCGGAGGAAAACTGATGCCGGCAGTCGGGGGAAGGAAGGCTTATTGCGCAAATCTTCGTGCAACGGGCTTCTAGTTATATAATATAAAGCTCTGTATAATTATTCTGTATGTTCCTTTAACTTAAAAAAATGATTGAAATATCACTTAACTAAATTGGTGCAGAACACTGTTTTGGCTTGAAGTAGAGAGGGCTCTGATAGTTTTCCACCCCAGTTTTAATGCCTCACTTAGAATATATTTTCTGTTCTTTTGTTTTCTTAAGATGCTACCTACAATGTGATTACATTCAGATTATTGAAAAATCATACTGCTTTTGTGAAAGAAAAACAGCAACATGGAGTTGATAGTCTCAAGAGAGAGCGCTATCTAAAATGGAGTAGGGCCCTAACCGGTTTGGCTCAGTGGATAGAGCGTTGGCCTGCAGACTGAAGGGTCCCAGGTTCGATTCCTGTCAGGGGCATGTACCTTGGTTGTGGGCACATCCCCAAGTAGGAGGTGTAGGCAGCTGATTGATGTTTCTCTCTCATCGATGTTTCTAACTCTATCCTTTCCCTTTCTCTCTGTAAAAAATTCAATAAAATATATTTTAAAAAATAAAATAAAATGGAGCAGGGTCCAGCTGGTGTGGCTCAGCGGGAACCAAGAGGTTGCCTGTTCCATTCTCGTTCAGGGCACATGCCCGGGTTGCTGCTCAATCCCCGTTAGGGGTGCATGCAGGAGGCAGCCGATCGATGATGCTTCTCTCTCATTGATGTTACTGTCTCTCTATCCATCTCCTTTCCTCTCGCTCTCAAAATCAATAAAAACATTAAAAATAAAATAAAATGGAGCAGGGAGGCATCTGGGAAGCTGGATAACTCACCCCTTCCATGTGAAGCTGAACTTTTTAACTGGCCTTAAACCAAATGGCCACACCCTGATACAGGTCCTGGAACTAGACTTGCATCATTGAACTCTTTTTTTTAAAAAATAGACATTTTTATTGATTTCAGAGAGGAAGGGAGAGGGAGAAAGAAACATCAATGAGAGAGAGAATCATTTATTGCTTCCTGCCTGCCCCATTCTGGGGATTGAGCCTGCAACCTGGGCATATGCCTTGACCAGGAATCCAACCACAATTCATAAGTTGATGTTCAACCACTGAGCCACACCAGCCAGGCTATTCATATCAATATTTATAGGTCAAGGGGGGTGTGTGGAAGAGAGAGAGAGAGAAACATTGATCAACTGCCTCCCGTACATACCCCGACTGACCGGGTATCCAACCCTCAATCTGGTCACAAATCAGACCCGCAATCTGGCTATATGCCCTGACCAGAATTGAACTGCAACCTTTTAGTGCATGGGATGATGCTCAACCAGCTGAACCACAAAAATCAGGGCTCTATTCATATTTAATTCTTTAATCCACCACTGATTTATTTTTTTTCACATGGATAGTTAGCAGTGTTTATTGAAAAGTCCCTTCTTTCCCCAGTGATCTATAATGCTATCTCTGTCTTACCAAATATGCACGGATTTATTTCTGGGCTCTCCACTCTGGGTTTTTTTAATTTAATATATATTTTATTGATTTTTTACAGAGAGGAAGGGAGAGGGATAGAGAGTTAGAAACATCGATGAGAGAGAGAAACATTGATCAGCTGCTTTCTGCACACCTACTGGGGATGTGCCCACAACCAAGGTACATGCCCTTGACCAGAATCAAACTT